ACTCACAGCGACGCACAGGACAGGGCAGAGCTGCCCCTGTTGGTTTCTGAGAGGGTTACTCTTCACGGGAGTAGATGCCTCATCTTTCTCCCGAGGCACAGCTGGTGGTGTTGAACTGCTGACCTTGCAGTTAGCAGCCCAGTGCCTACCCACTACGCCATCAGGGCTCACGGAGGGATATAAGGTGATGCAGAAGATAAAAAATTCAAATCCGCTGCCACGGAGTCCAATGGTACTCAGAGCACACAGTAGGACTGCTCCACAGGCTACTGAGAAGATGAGTCTTCACAGAAGCAGACAGCCTCAGCTTCGTCCTGAGAGCAGCTGATGGGCTCAAACCAGCCACGTGTTCAGTGCCAGCTCCACACCTAACCACCCTTGCCACCGGGGCTCTTTCTGTAATGGCTGTTGGTGTTGGATGCCATGGACCCTCTCAGTTTCAGCTTCTTCTTTGTCTGTAAAATGCATGGAGATAAGGTCCCTGTCCCCAGCATGATGGCGTGTGCCCACCGGAGTGGATCACACCACGGGTTGCACTATCTCTGAACAGAGCCACATGGAAGCTGGGTGGATGGATGGATGGGTATATGGGTGGATGAATGGATGAATGGATGGAAGGGTGGATACGTAGATGGGTGGGTGGGTGGATAGATGGATGGATGGGTGGATGGGTGGATGGATGACTGAATGGAAGGGTGGAGGAGAGATGAGTGGGTGGATGGATGGATGGATGCATGGGTGGGTGGAAGGGTGGATGGGTGGGGGTGTGGATGCATACATAGGTGGCACATGGATGCAGTGATGGCTAGGTTTTATGCCAACCTGTTGCATCTGGGTGAAGGTAGGGGTGGAGTTCAACCTGTCCAGCAGGTCACAACCTGAGGACACCTCCTTGGGGGCATGGCTTTTTTTCCTGAGAGATTTTGTGGAGAACTTCTCTTGCCTGCCCCTCCTGCTACATCTGCCAGCAGCTACCTGAGTCTGGGGCCTTGAGCCAGCATCTGACCCAGGGCCTGGCCATTTCCTTGTTGTAAAATTCTTTCTTGATATAAATTTCTTTCATATATATATATGTGTGTGTGTGTGTGTGTGT